TTCAAAGATACTAAAAAATGCACTGGAGGGTCAAGATACAGTTTTCAGGTTACTCTGCTTCTCTAGTGACTTCAGTCCATGTGCTATCGAATTACACTTCCACTGCTTGATTTGTTAACTCTTGTGAATGCTTCAGCAGTTCACATGCGGTTAGGGAGGGAACCGGTGCCTGAAGTTCACCCAGGCGGAAGTGAAAATTGACAACCCGAAAAAAAGAGGCATACGAGCAGCTTCAAAGAGCGTTCATACTTTCCTGCAGCGTCCTGGGCGCTTCATGCGTTCAGAGCTACTGGAAGTATATTATCGACCCAGCTCTTTGAGCGTCTCTCTAGAGTTTTCGGCGATAACCAGTACCATTAATTTCTTACACATTCTAAGTCGTTCAAAACGCTCGAAACGCTGGGGGCGCTCAAAGCGATGCTAGGTTGATAAACGCTTGAAGTACGTGATCTCTCCTTCAAGTTAGCGGCAGTAATTATAAAAGTACATGATTTCACGCACTTTTCTTGACACTGAAGGCAAATACTATAGCAACTAATTCGCTCAGTCGTTAATTGATATACTCTGTGAGACAGAGAAAAGAGTTATAAGGCTATATTGCTCAACGAACTATCGAGGAGAACTCATAAAAGAGTTATGCAAGTAAAAAGCAGCGAAGCAGATATAAATTATACAACTAAGAAAGCAGCTCTGAACTCCCTAGTGCTAGCACTGCGCACTACTCTAGAAACATGCAAGCAAAATAAATACCGAGTAATGGGAACTACAAGGCCTTTCCACGTGCTTCTCAAGTATGCTATTTGTAAAAAAACTCCTCAGAAGGTACAACCGCCCTTCATACTTTTGATTCGGGAGACGGCGATTCGAGAGGAAAGTGTAGATATCGACCTGGCGACTGCGGAGATTGAGCGATCCCACGATTTGGGAGACTCGGCGTTTTCGGCGAAAGGAGTGGACGCAAATCGATTGTCGCCGGTCCCCAGCCAATGCGGAGATCCGGCGATCCAGCGATTTGAGAGACTCAGCGATCTAGCCATTTGGGACATCGCCTGATTGCTCAATCTCCGCAGGTGCCAGATCACACCTGCACTTTGTTCGTCGCAAATTTCCAGAATTGCCGA